AAAGATCATCAAGAACCAAAAAATAAATAAATAAATAAAAAATAAAATTAACATACAATTATTTAACAGTTACGCAAACCAAGTTGAAACCTGAGATTACCTTCGTAAATCGCAGAAACCCAGTCCCAAAAACTTTTAAGTAAGAGGAATCGAAGTATTAATAATTAAATTACGGAAATGTTCGATATGTTCTAAAAAAACAACAAAACCACGGAACGGGAGCATGATGAAAAAAGAAAAGGCACACATGCGCAATAAAAATTAAAAATATCATCCCCACAATAAAATGAAGCAGTAAAACTGATGATTTCATCCATTTCACATATTCACTAGAAATCAATTAAACCATATACATTTGTGTCTGATAAATTTGACAGATGAAAAAGTAACCTTGAAGTTCCCTCGTGAACTCGAGTGAGCAGACTGCTTGAGTGGGCTCTCTTTCGGTCCAAAGCCAAGTTTAATTAATGTTCCAACTTCCAATTGGAGAAAATAAAAGGTTTCTTTTTGGATATTTGAATTTAATGAACAATATTTTAATATTATTATTTTATTTTATTTGTTGAATTTAGGCTAAATGGGATATTGGATTAATCTTATGTGGCACTCTGGCAAGACATAAATTGTAGGCAACAACCTCAGCCACTGAAGGAATAGTGGATGGCCTTTTGGAATTCTTGGGCCATATTTGGAGTTTAGGATAAAACAATATGAAAGAAGAGTGGTTCAGCTTCAAACTAGACTAAGATAATTGCTGTTTTACAATTTATGTGGCATGGATTCTCTCTTATCAATCTCCTTTTTCCATGAAATTATGGGACATGAGTTTTGTTCTTTTATTTGTTGAGAAATGCTATAGTACATAATATTGTACATAGGGGTGTACATAACACTCACATTGAATAGCATTGATCAAAAATAAAAAGTCAAGTGGACCATACTCCATGTGAGTGTTATGTACACCTTTATGTACATTAATTATGTGGTTGTAGCATTTGCATCTTTCTTATTTGTTTAGATAAGAAAGAAAGTCGCTAGGTCTTGAAGTTGACAAAAGGCTGGATTAAAGGCATGTGTTGTGTTAATTTTGTTTGGAAAATTTTATTTTAAGGCTTGATTTTTTGGTATTGTGTCGCAATAGGGTGTGCATTTTCAACTTTCTCGAGAGTTTCATTTTTAAGTTATCTTCAATTGAAGGTCTGCTTTTAATTTAGGATATCGACCAACTTTATATTTTTACATAATTATGTAAACTGAAATACTATTATTTGAATATTTATAATTTAAATAATTATAATATCTTTAATAAAATTACTTTAGTAAGAAATTAATTTGTTTAAGCTACATTTATGCAAAATTTTAATGAAAGTTACTTCAAAATTTAAAAAAGATTGAAAACTAAATTTAAGAATGTGTGATTTAAATATTATATTAATTGTAACAGAAATATATAATAAAATTATAAAAAAAAATACTTTGAAAATTATTGTATTTTTCTTAATTAATGTTATTGAAAATATTATTCGTATATAAAGTTATTACTGTGAAAATATTTATGCATAAAATTATTATCTATAGTAATATTATATTGAAAATATATTATCTAATATTATTTTTATATATTTTTATTTATAATATAAATATGTAATAAAATTACAAATATTTAGAGTTATTCTAATTCTTTTTTATAAGCTTGACTATTGATGCAACTTGGAGCTATGAAATTTAGATAATATGAAAAGCACAAACTCAATAGTGACGCTTAGCAAAAAAACTAAAATAAACTTTTAATGTAATATCAACTCATAAATTATCAAATCATTTCCATGACATAATATCAACTCAAAAATAATTATCATTCATCAAATTCTCAAAGCAGGATCTCATAAATTCATCAATTACCCAAACTGGGTTTCCATAAAATTATTACTGTCAAAGGGGCATCTCCCCAACCTTATTTCAATCATCATAATATCCCTAAATTCATAAAATTTCAAATCATAATTCAATAATATCCCAAGTTCATAAAATTCATAAATCATAAAGTAGTTTAAATAGCGGAAGCATAACAATCGATAATCGGGTCATACAGACCGACCACCACTCGCTCCACTCCGCCGTTGTGCCTGCCTTGCTTAACCTGAAACGTTAATTTCAGGTGGGAGTGAGCACAAATGGATACCGTAGTGCTCACCACTATGCAGTAAATATTATCCATAATATAACAGTAATCATAAAATAAGTCAGGTATGGTCGCAGGAGGTATACGAAACAATTATCTATCCCATCTCCCATCAATAATATCAATAATCAAGACTCATGTGCACACATACGCATAGACTATAGGCCTCACATCGATGCCTAACCAGTAGGAGTAAAACCACCCCACCGACCAAGGCCTCGCCTTGGTCTTACCAACGGGGATCACCAGCCGAGGGACCTAACCCTGGTCTTACGGCTCTCAAAAGGAGACTACCCAACGGGTACGTTCTATAGCTACGGGGATAACAGTTCGACGGCTGGTACAACTCACATCGAAGGCTATATGGTTCACATGCATACATTGATCATACCACAAGTAGTCATTTATAACATTTACAGCATAGCAAATTTTAGAATAACGAACCCAGCTGATTGCTGAAATGGAGAATCACACCAAAATAGTGGAATGTAGGTCGAGGCTCGACTCCTCAAACACCTACATTTATTTAAAATAGCCCTATAAATGACTATTCAACATATGAACAACTCATAGCAACACTCATGAGATTCAACTCAGCTCATATAGTTCATATAGGCACGCATATTACAAATAAAACCCATTATCTAAAATACAACACAAGTTTTTCAAAACTTAAGCCGCGCAGCGTTTTTAAAATCGAGATAACTTTCAGCACATAACTCATATGAACATGATTCAAATCTCAAATTAAACCAAAGGCATGCATATACAACTTTCATGAAGACCTCAGAAGCAAATAATGACATATAGCAGGTCATAAATTGACTAACATGATGAACCTAGTTGCAGTCCGGGAAACAAGAACATGCTTGAGCACAGCTTCAGTAAAATGGATAACTCATACTACACATAACATATTGACATGTTTCTTTCATCTTTAGAAAGCTAAGAGACAGCCCTAAAACTTTCATTTAGGCCACAGAAGCAGATAAGGTCATACAAAGGGGTAAAAGCAACTCACTTTTATAAATCAATTTCTGCCAAAAGTGCAAACTCATCGCATGCATATCCTAAATCAATTTAACATGACTCGAGCTACAGTCATCATATCAGCATGAATCTTACCTCATTAGAAAGCTAGGAAATAAACCTATAACTTTTATGCAGATCACAAACTCATTTGAGCACATTAAGACGAAATAAACAGGTCAAACATTTCATGTGATCTTGCTGCCGTATTTTTTTTTTTTTTTTTCAGAAAACTGCTCGCACCATAATTTTGTAAAAATCATATCTTACTCGATAATAATCGGATTTATGAAATTCCAAAGCCCAGGGAAAGCTAACAGAACGAACTTCATTTCATATGAAGAACCCAACTTCAGATAACGGGTTTCCGAGGGACAAAACCGAGGTGCAACTGGGCAGTAATTTCGAGATAACTCATGCCATATACACTTCATGCGGTTTATCCCCAAAACAATATTTAAATAAGCACATATGCATCTTCATATCACTCATGGTTACCATGCTCGATCAACATCAACCAAACATCTCATAAACTCATACGATATTACATAAATACATAAAATCAAGCCCTAGCATCCAAGCTCTACTAAAACATCTCCACATATCAATAATAACACATGAACTAAAAGGGTTTCGGGCCCTTATACCATTCTCAGGATTAACACACGAAGCGAAACGGACAAGGACCGAGACGGGGCTGCTGCGTTTAGGTCTCAACGTCAGCAGCGGCTGTCCCTCGATGTACGTGGCCCTCACGAACGGTGGCTAGTTGTTGGCCGCCGGAAAGCGGGGCTCTCAGCGAAGAACGGGTTGACACACGTGAGGCTCTTGTCTCCTCGGATCCATTTGAATGCACGAGCAGGTCTCCTTCGTTCGTCGTTGCTGTTCGCGATCGCTTCCTCTCGGCAGGTGCACGATCGGTGGCACGGGATCTCAGTGGCGACAATTCGGGCACGTGGTGAAAAGGACACTCGCCGGCGATTGACGGCTGGGGCTATGGATGATGATGGTGATGATTTGATCGATATTGGATGAAAGGAAATCTGATGGTAAGGGCTTGAAATAGGTTCTGGTTTTCCTTGCGCGTATGGAGACGGTGGTTTTTGAGATTCTTCCCTCATTTTCTCGTCGTCGGGCTGGTGGTTGAAAGTGGAAAAAGAGAGAACAGATGTTTTGGGAGGACGACGGGCTGAAATTCGCGAGGGAGGGGGAGGATGATTTTGTGCGATTTGCTGCTAATAGAGAGGTAGAAGGGAGTGGTAGCGAGAGAGAAGGAATTTTGAGATCGGCTCTGGCTCCCGTTTTCCATGTGACATAAGACCAACATTTTATGGGAAAATCAAGGTAATTAGTGTGATATAATTTGCCCCAAATAATTTACATCAATTGACACAAAAAGGGGCTTTGACCGGTCATAAATGGGAGAAAAATGGCTGGCTTCTCTTGCCCATAAAGCACATAAATTGAGTTTGAAAATCAAACACAAGCTTGGAGACAAATTCCCAAAAATTATGGGTTGAATACGTGGGACACTTGGGCCGAGATTTAATTAACTTCCAAATGGGCCGAAAATTAGAAATAAGATTGGGTCGAGTCCAAGGTTCGGGAAAATATCAAGAACGTTCGAAAATAAGACTACGCGATTAGACCGAAATTCACCGAACAATTAAAATAATCCTAATATTACATACACATAATTAATAATGATTTAAATCACATAATATCCACATAATTAAAGTCACATAACAATTCCACAATAAGCAAACAAATAAGACAGGCAAAGACGAGCACTTTATAAACGAGCAATTAATAGAAACAAGGATAATAATCAAATATAAAACAAATAAATAATAATATAATATTCGGATAATTTTAATAAACGAACGGGGCGCTACAATCTATCCTCCTTAAAAGATTTCCGTACTCGGAAATACCAGGGAACACGCAACCAGAGGAAATGACAGTCTCAAGCGAGAATTTACAACTATGAGGTCTGGGTATCCCCTCCGATACTCGACCCCACTCGCATGAGTCTTATCGCCCTGAACTCAAAAAGCATACACTCACATACAGGACCCAATCCGGCTCGCCCTAAGCTCATATGTTTACCATCTTGCATGAGAGGGTGACTCAATCCTGCCCGAGCTCAGGCGCACATCCTCTTGTAAGAGACCCATTTGGCCTATACCCATGAGTATCAACAGTTTGCTTCGTACCTAACAAAACATAGGACTCCAACAGGTCGTTAGGTGTATTGCTAGCATACTCTGACTGCCTCACCATCAAGGTGGATACGTGACGCCAAGCTTCAGCCTCGTGCCCGAGGCACACTGGAAACTTGCTCACGATTTTCATCACAGAAAGAGTGTCTCCATCCGAGACCTCGACACGATACCACATATAGGTAGTACCACTCCAATGTTCCCGTACTCTCAATGATATCGACTCCATGAGTCCAACGTAGCCTGTAACGCCCCACTTTTATTTGCCGAAAATCAGAATAAATTTTTCAAAATTTATTTCAAACATATTTAAGGCGTTACTGACTTATTTTTCAAACGACATAACATCAATCATCTAAC